TATCTCAACCTACAAATCACTATCTGCTTCTCTGTATGTAGCTCTTCCCGTTTTGCATTTCATTATCAGAATCAAGCTCGTTTGAACACACTCATTGTGTCCCCTTTTAGATCACGTCGAGCTGCTGGGTAAACTAGAGCGGAAGGAACGAGAGTGCGAGACCAAGACCCAGGAGAAGGAGGACATGATGAAGACTTTGAACAAGATGAAGGACAAACTCCAGCGCGAGGGAGTGGAGCTGCGCTCAGCCAAGGAGCAAGTCCAGGACCTGTCCTCGCGCATTAATGACGTTTCTGTGAGCAGAGCTGCTTTTGAATAATTTACACAATATGACGCACAGTGAGTCGTGATATGCTGCTCTGTTAGCGCGTAGCTGATTGCTAGGTGTTTGATCATCTTGTTAATGGACAATTTTCTTTAAACAAAAAAACACTTTTCTACAATTCCGGTAAAGAATAATCACCCTAATAAACAATGCTACAAAAACAAGCTTTCTCACGACATATTAGACAAGACCGATATTAATGTTGTCACAATGCTTTTGCTGCAGAGATCGGTTTCAAAGTGGGTGTAGCTTAGCATAAACAATAGGAAACAGTCGATGTTGCCTTCATAAAAACAAGACACTGTAGCTCAAGGGGGTTAGCTTACGTTAGCTAATGCATTAAAGCTAATTACCAATCAGCAGCAGCTGGGCTGAGTAACTGAAGTCCTCAGTCGCTGTAAAGTTGCTATCTCTACTTTTTTTTTTTTTTAATAAAACTTTGAGCAAAACCCAGCTATTATTGGCTAGTTTGCTAGCTGACAACTTATAACATAAGTAAGACTGTTTTGGAGCTGTTTTTTACTCTTTTTGTGAACACTAGTGATTTCTCCCTGCTCTCAGCTAGTTTTGCTTTAAATTGCTTTATATTCTTTATCTAACTCTCAGTTAGGCAACAAATAAGCATTTTATCAAAAATGTCAGAGCATTACTGAATGCACTTGAATGTTATTCATGATAACTTTATCTCTTATTTACGTCTCTCCACCAATAGGGCATCAGTGTTTCTTTCCCGCCTCCTCCTACTCCCGGCGGCCCCACGGCTCCGCCTCCACCACTTATGATGGGCTTTCCTCCGCCTCCTCCTCCGCTACCGTTCAGCTGCCCACCTCCTCCGCCACCTCCTCCTCCACTGGGAGCCCCTCCGATTTTCGGAGCCCCGCCTCCTCCCATTCCCTCTTCATTCAACTCGGCGGCCAGTATGCGCTCCAAATCCATCCCTCAGCCTTCACATCCACTCAAGTCCTTCAACTGGGCCAAACTAGGAGAGGTGAGAGGGCGATGAGAACATCCGCTTTGCCAGACCACGTCGGGCGAAAATATTGAAACTTAATTCAATTTTAAGATATGATGGTGATATAGTCTATGGTCTGTTAGCTGATGTTAGCATCATTTTATCCCTGATCTAAAGTAACACAGAAGAAAATTTAGAAGTAGTACCTGTTCAGTCTGTTTTTTGAATATTAATCCCTTATATCCCTTTACCCCTTTTTCAGAATGTGATCAACAGCACCATCTGGAATGACATCGACGACCTGAGAGCTTTCAAGATTCTTGACCTCAAGGACATCGAGAAGATGTTTTCAGCCTATCAGAGACAGCAGGTTTGGATTATTCAGCAAGTGGATGTAGTTCGGAGTGTGTGTGTATGTGTATTTTGGCAATTGGCATTAAAGGGCCAGTGTGTAGCATTTCGGGGGATCTACTAGCAGAAATGGAATATGATATTCATAACTGTTACCTGAAACTAAGAATCGTTGCGTTTTTATTAGCTTAGAATGAGCCCTTCATATCTTAACTGGGCTGCTGTAGGAATGTTACGAGGGAGCTTTTCACGTTTTTACATTACCTGAAGGCCACCGTAGTTCTCTGACACACTCGTGAAACTGCAGTATCGTGAGCTGCAGAGTGCAAAACCATGGCACCACCAGCCACCGTCTTCTGTTGTTCCCGAAGTAGTGTTGTTATGGTATGGAAGGCCTCTGAGGCGAACAACGTTACCACTGTTTTGCACTCGGCGGCTCACATAACCACAGTGTTGGAAAAAGAGGAGTGAGCAGTCGGTTGCTGTCTGCAACCTCATTTAGATTTCACTAAACCTTATACACTGTCCCTTTAACATATGGACGCAAGTGAAATCAGAATTCTGCCATTCTTTAACATGTCTGTGTGCGCGAGAGTGTGTGTGCGTGTGTGATGGGCTGTGGGGTGGGATGTCGTAAGAGGATTCTTGAGAGTGCCAAGGGTCCAGCTCCAGGCCAACACGAGCAGCTGCTCACTGCTGAATGCCTTATTGTTAAAACAAAGAAAATGCCACAGAGCTCGAGCTTTGCCCGAGTATCTGCAGAGCGTTAGTGTGAGAACTGGGTTACCGACTGGGGTCTTCACGGGCTGATGGATCAGGGCAACACGGAGGAAACACCACTGGAGTCACGGGGGAGTCACGACGCAGGAAACGTTCTTTTTCCAGGGACTATAATGAGTTTCTAGTCATCACAGTTTAAATCAAAGGCTCAATGGAGGAGCGGTGCTTGGTGAAGTCTCTATAGAGGCGTCACCATTGTTGAATTGCTTTACAAGGTATTTTACTGCCACGCTTAAAAGCCTTCTTACAGTTAAAAGCACAACTCCTCTTTTCAGGCTTTTTTTACAGAGCAATGGGTCATTTGAGGCTGTTGCAGACAGTGGTTTACTGTGTGTATTTATTTATATAGAGTAGGTTTGTAATGGCACCGGCCGACGGTTAAACAGTGATCTCTATGGATATAGCCACATAAAAAAACCTGACGCCCTACTGGCTTTGACAACTCGGTGAGAGAGATTTGGCAGAGAGGGAGGTTCCATTCAATTCAACGTTGCGATGTTTATACATGGCATAATTGCTTTTTCTTTAAAAAAAGCTTGTCATTGGCCTTTTGTTTACCTTCGCCCTCTGTAGGATTCCTTACCACACTTCATTTTTCATTTTCTTGTTTTTCCATGTCAAGGCAAATGTAGATGCAATCAAAAGAACGCATTATAGCAATCGTGACCTTAAGAACACAGAAACCAAAATAGAGCACAGTTTAAAAAACTTGCACCAATGCAGATATATTTCAGACTTTTCAACATAGACTTCATGAGCCCCTGATGACTCGGTCAGCCGATTATTAACGTTTTGTGCTCAAAGAAGGCTTCCCAGCTTCAGCTTGTAGCGTGCATAGTTGTAGTTCTCTGCTCTAGTCACCACCTTTTTTTTTCTCTGCTTGAAGTGCTAATCTTTGCATGTGTTTTCAATTACTTTTTTTTGTGTGTGTGTCTCTCTGCACTCTCCCGACTGCCTGGGCAGGACCTGCTCACTAACCAATCCTTCAAGCAGGTGAGTCAAGAGGTCCAGCATCTTTATCTCATGGTCCCCTACCTCCAGTGCTCTATCACCTTCTCCTCTGCTATGCAGCAGACGGCCGGGGAGGCCAGCTCCTCCTGTAATGAGTGTGTTATGTGACTCGTCTCTGGTCTGGGTTAGGTGTGTTTTTTAATCTACAAAATGAAAATGACTGTGAGTGCTGGTGTTGATAATAACCAAATTGATGTGCTTTCCTGCACTGTGACAAGAGTGTGTGGATGACGCTTTAAGATAGCTAGCTAGTTATAAAATATGAAGGGGCTAGTCTCCAGTTACACTTGGGTTGAGTCTGCATGCTATGCACAAGGTAGCAAAACTGCATTTTGAAAAAACCTGCCTTTAGCGTGTGGGCCAGGGAGGGTTTGGCCCCCCTACCCGGTGCCAAACCTCTGTCCGGTGCCAGGCCCCATGGGTCAACGCAGGCATGGAAAAATTACTCTTTCTGTTTCACACACACAGCCGGCAACCTCAGAAAGGACTGCGGAGAAACCGGCTCGCACCATAAATAGAATGTGTTTAACACACATTCTGGTTTTCTCAGACATGTATTCATTCTCCCTGTGGAGTTTTTAATGCTACATTGGCGTGAAGCTCACAGAACTATCTGACTGGCCCAAACCGAGATTTGCACAGCGTTTCCTGTTCCTCCGAGAGGTTTATAGGCCGGCCTGCATTGTGTTTGCAGTGGTGACTCACCTAATAAAAAACTCCTCTCACACGACCTACTTTCTATTTTTTGCTTGCACCGGCATGAATTTGTGACTCCTGTTTTTTTTTTCACTGCATTTCTTGGATATGTTTTCATACCACTCAGTCCAGGCGTCATAGTTTTTAATGAGATGTGCGTTACGGCTATGAGAACTGATGCATCGCAGTCAGTGACTGCAAAAGCAGGTCAGGCCAATTACTGTATTTGGCTCGAGTGCAACTTTTTAGTCTTTGCTTGATATTGGCAGTGATGAAACGTTTTTTTTTTTTTGGTTTTTTTTTAAATATATATATCTGCTCCAAATTTACACATTGTTAAATGCTTAGAAGAGGTCATGTCATCTCTCGACCAGATAAAGAAGTCAAACAGATGCGAGGAGGAGGCTTTGCATTTCACGTGAGCACTCTTATAGATGGAACTGTGTTGCAAAGTCAACCTGGATCTCTGTCTTTATCTTTCTGCAGAAGGAGACAGGCTCTATGGACGACATATACGTCAGCACGCGGAAGGTCAAAGAGCTGTCGGTCATCGACGGCAGACGTGCGCAGAACTGCATCATCCTTCTCTCAAAGTACGGAATTCTTAATTATGCTTATTAACTATACTGTTAGTTGGATTATAATTGTGAAGAGATCCCCTGTGCATAGGCTATGGTGACCTTTGGGTCAGAGGCTAGAGCTGTAACTCGGGGTGGAGCTGCTTGAGGCAGGTTCTTCTTATGTCTGTAACGGGACACAGGACATCTGCCAGTGTAACTGAACTACCATCCATGGTGAGAGCAAGCTGAGTCATATTACAGACAGAAAGCATTGTCTCTGGAGTAGTAGGTTTTTTGTCTATTTTTAAACATTCAAGTACTATCAATCTACACATATAAAATAGATTAAGACACATAAAATGCCCCTCCCCCCTCTCCTGAGGGGCTTCAAGTCTTACTACATCAGAACCAGAATCAATTAAAATCCCCTCAACAATATGGTAACCGTTTGTGTGTCAATCCAAAGCCCTGTAGAGAATTTGGATCAATAAACAGACTTCACGAGACCCGTCTCTGTCTGACAGAACTGCAGCATGGTCCCTGGATTGCTCTCGTGTCAATAGCAAATGACCCGAGGGTACAAACCCAAATGGGGTCAGCAGTCGCTCAATAAGGCTTCGGTGCGAGGACTAACAATACTGTTATTGATCACAACCCGGACACTTAACACTGTCAGATGCACTGCAAACAGCTGGCAATCCTCCCGGGGTTGACTCTGGTCCAGAGCAGTATTCCGCTGCAGTTTTTTTCTGTGTCGTGTATTTGTGATGTGGCAAATAATGACATTCGATGAATGGAATTTAACTAAATGTTCTTCAACTGCAGGTTAAAAATGAGCAATGAAGAGATCAAGAGGGCCATCCTGGAGATGGATGAGAGGGAAGAGCTGGCCAAAGATATGCTGGAGCAGGTGAGGTTGATGGATGATCGTGTACTATGTATGTACGACAGCAGTGTAGTAGCAGAGCTCATCAAGTCGACTACCACGGTTTGGATAGGTAAAGACAATGTGTATGGATTTGACTGATTGGAAAAGAAAAATTGATGTTCTGTTGTTTCTTCAAAAAGGTTTGATGTACTTTTCCTAGTCAGCACTTGACCCAGATAAAGTGATATTATATATAATAGATTTCAGTAATTTTTTGATAAAGAAGCAGAAAGTTACAATTTCGAGATGTCCAAGGGCCCTGGGTCTTTTCAGTTTATTTCAGTGTGTAATTTTATATGGATAAAGTTTCAGAGAGATTAACAAACCACACAGCTAAAGTTAAACCATAGACTGTAAGTAAGAAGGTGACATAGTCACGGAGACGTCACACATTGTGTGTGGACTGCCATGTTCAAGCCATCACTATCTTGGCTTTTGGCCTGAAGACGCTGTGTAAGGGTTAAGTCCTAAGACGAAAAACACACCGATTGCAACCAGAGGAGTCGCCCCCTGATGGCCATTAGAGAGAATGCAAGTTGAAGGCACTGCCACATTGGTTTCACTTTTCAGACCCGGTTAGGGTTAGATACTATGCATTTCAGTTTGCTCCACAGACATGTGGATTAATGTTGTTATCCTTGCGTCTTTCCAGCTGCTGAAGTTTGTCCCAGAGAAAAGTGACATTGATCTGTTGGAGGAGCACAAACATGAGCTGGAGAGGATGGCCCGGGCCGATCGCTTCCTCTTTGAAATGAGCAGGTATACGACACTGGATTATTGTACAACACGGGTAACACAACTTCAGGTAACAGCATTGGTGTGTTAGCTGTCTGATTGCTGTCATCTGCAGCCAAACCACCTGCAAAGCAAAGATTTGCAATTTGCACGGCTGGTTAATGTTCATGTAGGTAAACTTGGGAGATATGGTGATGATCAGTTGTACAAAAGTCATTGTCTCTGTTATAAAACAGATGTGCTATGTTTGTATCTGACTGACAGAATCTGAACATTTTCCAAAGTGAACAACATGCAGATTTTGTACAGAATCAAGACATCAGCCACTATTATTACAAAGCACGACGTCTGGTGGAGAAGAATAAGCTTTTGAAGCAGCACGGTGAGGCTGCAATCAAGAACAAGCCTCAAACACGTCAGGGTGATGGATTCATCATTTAGCTGTAAAAAGAAGTCATGGCTGCCCTTTGACGACTCCCGTCACATCAGAGTTTTTTTTCTGCATTCCATCCTTTCTCAGAATCTGTGCTATTTGTTCAAGATAATTAAACTTTTTCATTTCCTTCAGTGAAATATTACCCTGTCCACTTTGTTTCCTTTTGACCGCATCTCCCTGGTCCCAGGAATACATCTGGGATTTAGTTGTTTCCTTTTTCCTTTCTTTTTTCACCATTTAATATCCCTGGTCCATCTTTGAAATTCCCACTCCCTCCCAAAGTGAACTTTTTGGCAAATTTAACACAACCCATTTTTCAACTCTGTAACTTGATGGGAGCCTATTAGATGATAAAAGGCCTGTGAAAACTGAGAGAGGGAGTTTTGTATGATTGGGGGACTTCTAGCTTTGAACTTACACTCCCCCTGGACACAAATGTGACTCACTTCCCTTTCTGTTTTTTTCCCCCTGCTTTTCTTTTCCTTTTATCTCTTTCCTCCCTTCATCAGAATTGACCACTACCAGCAGAGACTGCAGGCTCTGTTCTTCAAGAAGAAGTTTGCAGAGCGTCTGGCGGAAACCAAGCCTAAGGTTGAAGGTAAGGACAAACTCACCAGAGGCCACAAAAACACTTAAATAAGGCCGGCACTATTCTATGTTTCTCTTTTTGTTAACAAAGAAATTGATGACAATAACAAGTATTGTCTGCTGAAGCCTGATATGTCCTGTTCCTCTGTGCCACAGAGCTCCATTTTTGTCCAGAAACTATTAAAAATAGTCACTCACAATCAATGAGCCACACTGTTGTTCCTTCATTAGCATGAACACACATATTTATTTTGTCTCAATCCAACATGTACTGTCCTGCTGCCACAAATACTCACTAGTGCACCAAATGGGTATCAATCCGTGGCTGAAAAAAGTCCCCAACAAATGGTGCAAATTGGGCACATTACAATAATTAACGCCCCCCAAAATTGTCATATAAGCAGGCGGCACCTCCGCTTCTGATAAGGGAAGCCAATGCGAAAGCACATTAAACCTGCATTCTCTCTACTGGCCATCGGGGGGCGACTCCTCTGGTTGCAAAAAGAAGTCTGATTGTGTAGAAGCCTATGAGAAATTGACTCTACGAGTTCATGGTCCTAGTTTGGGGATGTCCAGATCCCATCTCATCTGTTTAAAACATTTAGTTGAATGATCAGTATCGGCTAATGAGCTACACCGAGCCTGATCCCATCCCTTGTTTTCACATCAGCTGTCACACGGATGTTTTCACTCGCGAAGCATACATGTTGAGCTGATGTGTGTGTAAGAGGCTCAGGAGCTAAACTCGGGGGGAAAAAAGCACCACACACAATAAACGGCAACATATTTTTTTTTAACCTAATTTATGTGTATTCATTTTATTTCGTCCCTGAGTGGAAAGTCTGCGGGCAGAGCCCCGCGAGCAAAAGGTCAATGAGAGGGATTTATTAATGCGACTCACGCAAAAGATGTAAATCCGACGGAAATACACACGTATACAAGTCGTTCAGGTAACTCCGATAACGCTGGAGGACAGAGAGGGTTTGTTAAAATATACTCTAAGGAACAGTCCTTAGAGTATATTTTAACAAACCCTCAAATATACTCTAAGGAACAGTCCTTAGAGTATATTTTAACAAACCCTCTCTGTCCTCCAGCGTTAGATGCAGCTACATTTTTCTTTCTTCATTCAATTGTCAAGTATAGCCATCGGATTGATTTTAATAACTTGAATGCACTTGAAGTGTGCACTGTGCAGCTGTGCTAAGAAGGAAAGTAGAAGTACATTTTAAGTAGGCTTACATGCCAAGAAACTAAAAATAGTTTCATGCACTTTAAATGTCATCAGCTTTGAACGCTTCGACCGACGCCTTTCACGACGACTTGTGAAATCCCTTCTCTGTTGTACATGTGCACGGTGAGAGTGGGTGGCCGACTGCATGTTGGCTCCACTGTTGTGTTTTTTCCTTCCGAGCCAGCTTCCAGGTTACCACGGAGGCTGTTCTGGAAAGCTGGCCCCCGTTGAGAAACACTGCAGCTCACTTCAAAGACTTCGTAGACCGGCTGTGATCACGGGTGTGTCGAGACTGAGCTGTCACTGTGTCCGTTTGAGCCAGAGCTGCTCCAAAGACACTTCTCCTCTGGCCTAAATGCTTTTTTGGGGGGTGGGGGGGTTGTATTTTCTGACACACATCACTGGAAAGAGAGGAGCAGAGCAGAGGAATAATCCCGTGAGTTAGAGCCTCCAGAATCTTTGTTGTTGGATCCAGACCCCAATGTTCATCGATGCCCGTAATAAAATTCTTATCCCGCTCTTATTGTTGGAATGCTGTTAAGCATTCCAACTATTGTTATCTTGTTTCTCTTTATTCTTCTTCTTATATTTCTTCCGTCCCACCTCTTCTTCTTCCTCATTTTTTAAGCTACAGAAACCGTTCAACTATCAAAATGTTCAGCTCTTTAATGACATTTCTGCTATGACTTTTCATATTTCTATCTCTTATGCTTTATGAATTATTAAGCTTTTTGCAATTTTAATTTTGAATGGGATTTCAATGGAGAAAATATTCAAATCCTCTTAAACTTCTTCAACTTTCAAATCCTTTTATTTACACATTTGGCACAGAAGCCTGTAATTGAGAGGAAAACCAACTTTCTGCTCCATAGAGACCAATGTTAAATTTTGCTTCAAAAACATCTTCCACAGAACATGGTACCCCATTTCTAGATCGCCAGTTCAGCCACATTTTTTACACTACAGACACAATTTTTACAGGATCTGTTCTTCAACTCATCCTTCCTCTCATTTATTAATATCGGAGCAATAGGAGCTACGGTTATGGGAGTTTTGAGGATTTGTTTGAGAGGTGTTTCCCTGTTTTATCTCCATGAAAAGGCTGCAACATACACACATACACCTCTCTCTCTCTCTCTCTCTCTCTCTCTCTCTCTCTCTCTCTCTCTCTCTCTCTCTCTCTCTGTCTGTGTCTGTGTGTGTGTGTGTGTGTCATACAGTCATTCAGGTCTTAGAGACTTTTAGAGGGACCCCCCCATTTTTAAATAAAAGCCGCACACACATGATTTAGAGATATACGTGATGCACGATAGGACAATATATTTGGACAATCTCCAAATGAGAAAGATTGCCAGAGAGGTCAGAGTCTCTCTCTCTCTCTCTCTCATACAGTCATTCAGGTCTTAGAGATTTTAAGAGGACTCCCCCCCCACACATACCCCATTTTAAAGTAAAGGCCCCACAAAATGAATTCTAACTGAAATGCTTGTGATGAAGCCTGTCATTTAATAACCTGTTTATGTTTATCTAACATTATGATTATGTCTCCTCTCCCCTTCCCCCCGCCCACACCCCATTTCAAAATAAAAGCCCCAAAGAGTGAATTCTAACTGAAATGCTTGTGATGAAGCCTGTCATTTAATAAACTCTGTTTGTGTGTCAAACATTGAGATTATGTCTCCTCTCCCCCTCTCTCCCCCACCCAGTCCCACCCTTTCAAAATAAAAGCCTCATGGATTAACTGTATTTAAACGTTAAGCTCAAAATTAGGCTTTTTTGTTGAAATAATGAATGCTCTTACTAATACTGCGACAACTACTGCTACTAATATTTCTAGTATCACTACTACTGCTGTTGCTACTATTACTACTACTACTACTGCTATTATTGATACCATCACTATTATTACTACCACTACTGCTATTACTGCTATTCCTGCTACTACTACAGCTATTAGTATGACTGCTACTAGTACTACTACTACTTCTTCTACTACTACTACTGTTATATTAAATACTACGACCACTACTACAGCTATTACTACGACTACTGATACTACTTCTACTACTTCTTCTTCTAATTACTAATACTTCTACTACTACTAATACTTGGACTACAACTTCTACGACTACTGCTACTACAAATATCACTACTGCTACAACTAGTACTTATTCAAATGCTACTAATACTTCTACTGCTAATAATACTTCTACAATTACAACTTCTACTACTACTACAACAAATATCACTACCGCTGAAATTTTTTTAAGCTACAGAAACCGTTAGAATATCAAAATGTTCAGCTCTTTCAGGAGAGGTGTGATATGACTTCATATTTGTAATCTTTAAAGTTTTTGAATTAAGCTTTTTGCACATTTTTCTTTGAATGGGTTTCAATGGAGAAAATGAAAAATACTTTCAGCTACAGACACCATTTCAACTTTCAAATGTTGAGAAAACCCTTAGGTATTGCCGCATGATTCAGCTTTTTGATATCTTTTACACTTTTTGAACTGCAGCAATTAAACGTTTATGATTTTTTCAGTCCTTTTCTGACTTTATAATGGGTGTGTATTGCGCAGCTTAGAGTGCGTGATGTCACCGCTAGAGTGAAGAGCAGCTTGAGATTCTTGTGAAATTTTGCCACTGTGTCCACAATCTTCACTCTTCATGCATAAGTTTTGATAAAGAAGTAGCTAATCTTGTCCTTGTCGTAGACACATGACTGTGGAATCCCACAGATTTACACATTTGACACAGAAGCCAGTAATTGAGAGGAAAACCAACTTTCTGCTCCATAGAGACCAATGTTAAATTTAGCTTAACAACATTCCAACAACAAAGAGAAACAGGATAACAATAGTTGGAATGCTTAACAGCATTCCAACAATTAGTGATGTTGATAAACACACAGACACACATGCACTCCTCTCCCTCTATCTCTGTGTGTCTCTCTCTCATACAGTCATTCAGGTCTTAGAGCTTTTTACAGGACTCCCCCCCCCCCCCCCACTCCATTTTAAAATAAAAGCCCCACATAATGAATTCTAACTGGAATGCTTGTGATGAAGCCTGTCATTTAATAACCTCTGTTTATGTGTCAAACATTATGATTATGTCTCCTCTCCCCCTAAGGTCAAAATTAGGCTTTTTTGTTGAAATAATGAATGCTCTTACTAATACTGCGACAACTACTACTGCTGCTGCTAATATTTCTAGTATTACTACTGCTACTACAACTTTTGCTTTTGCTACTATTACTACTGCTATTACTGCTACCATCAATATTATTACTACCACTACTGCTATTACTACCACTATTACTTATACTACAACTGCTACTACTACTACTGCTATTCATGCTACTACCAGTACTAATACTACTACAGCTATTAGTACGTCTGCTACTAGTACTACTACTACTGCTATTACCGCTACTTCAAATACTGCCATTACTATTACTACTACTTCTACTACTACTACTAGTACTGTTATATTAAATACTACGACCACTACTAAAGCTATTACTACTGATACTATCCATCCATCCATCCATTTTCCGCCGCTTATCCGGGGTCGGGTCGCGGTGGCAGCAGGTCAAGCAGGCCGACCCAGACCTCCCTCTCACCGGCAACATGTTCCAGCTCATTCTGGGGGATCCCGAGGTGTTCCCAGGCCAGCTGGGAGATGTAATCTCTCCAGCGTGTTCTGGGT